GGCTCAAACACCGAGAATGCCAAAAGCCACTAATTGAGTATTTTTGGAAGTTGGAATGATTGTAAGATATGAAGTCTGTTACCTAAAATCCTTTATACATTTAAATATGGACGAAGATAACTTATCTATCAAAAAAATATGGATGAAGATAGCTATAACACAGAACGAAGAACTAGTATAAAGAAAAAATACATTTAAACCTGTAACTAGTTAGAAGTTTATATTTGGGTAATAATTTAGGCAAACCCGTTATGTGACAAATGGAGCACACCCACCATTTATGGCCAAATTACACTCTGATGAAATGGGAACTCTTTAAGAAATATCAACTATTATTAACAAGGGCATCTTTTATCAGGAACCGCCCTAATAAGAAACATTAAATTTTGTCATCTTGATCATACACCGAGGACAAATGCCTAAAGCCATTTGTGATTTCTGCACTAGTGAAAAATCCTCTAGATTATAGAAAGTCTTTACATTACAAAATACTTGCTCTTCTCACAGGAATACTAGAAGGCCTGATACTGAGAAATAGTACAGCTTGCAGATGGCATCATTCTATTTTGTGAAGGGGAACCAATGGAGATGGAGAATTTGAAACATTTAGTGACACACTTTGAGAGGGTCTCTAATAGGAGTGGCAATGGGGCGGGTTCAAGGTGGGGATCATATTCCCTGTCCCCATCCCCGATCCTCGTCGGGGGTAAAATTTGTCCTTCATCCCTGATCCCCGACGGGGATGGGTTCCCCATGGGGACCCAAATCCCCAAAATTTTTTTAGATAATTTTTTTTTGAAAATTAAATTTACTTAAAATAAATAAATATTTTAAATTAGAAATAATGTTTTAAATATGTTTTGATATATGTATATATACAAATAATATAATAATATATATTTAATATAAATAAAATTTAATATATATAATCGGGGCCGGGTGGGGTGGGGACCTCAATCCCCATACCCGACCCCGACCTCGATTAGGGATTCCTATTGATCCCTGTCCCTGTCCCCACCCCACCAAAACAATCCCCATCCCCGACCTAATGGGGTCAGGGAAGTCAGGTCCCTGTCGGGGATGGGGAAAATTGCCATTCCTAGTCTCTAATTTGAAAGCTGTTTGTTCTGTAGCTACAGTAGTTCGAACCAGGATAAGAGAAGAAGAAGAAGAAGAAGAAGAAGAAGAAGATGAAGATGAAGAGAACAATCGAACTTGATAGATTAAACCCTATCAGTCGACCCTTAATATGGATTAACCTCTAATTAGTAGTACAAGGACTAAACTGCCCCCACTTAAGTATGGGACAAGAAGTCCTATTAAGACTGCCACATAAGCACATAACTTAATAGAAATAAAATGACTAATCTACCCTTATTCGGCTAGCCTAACACTCCCCTCAAGTTGGAGAATATATGTCATATAATCCCAGCTTGTTACATATATAGTTCACTCTCCCTAAGCTTAAGCCTTTTGTAAACAAATCTGYCSAYTGATCACCTGAGCCCACATGTTCTGTGCTTATCTCTCCATTAAGGACCTTCTCCCTCACAAAGTGGCAATTAATCTCTATGTGCTTTGTCCTCTCATGAAAAACCGGGTTGGATGAGATGTGGAGTGCAGCTTGATTGTCACAGTACAATTTAATAGGTCTATCCATGGAGAATCCGATTTCTTGTAGGAGATTCCTCAACGATACTAATTCACATGTAGTGTGTGYCATGGCTCTATATTTGGCTTCAGCACAGCTTCTTGCCACAACCGTCTGCTTCTTACTCTTCCATGTCACAAGATTTCCTCCAAGAAATGTGCAGTAACCTGTAGTAAATCTTCTATCAGACATAGAGCCTGCCCAATCTGCTTCTGTATACCCAATTACTTCAAGTTTTCCTCCTGGTTTGTACAATAACCCACGACCTGGAGCTCCCTTCAGGTACCTTACAATTCTAAGAACTGCATCCCAGTGAGGTATATGAGGGTTCTGCATAAATTGGCTCACCACACTGACTGCAAAGGAGATGTCTGGTCTCGTGATAGTCAAATAGTTCAGCTTCCCCACTAG